GCCCGGCTTGTAGCCAGGTGGTTTGAGCAAGGAAGGGCCATCACAGACTAGCCTACAGGCTGCTGATTAGGGTACTTACCTGACCAGGGAGAGCTGCACCAGAGAGGGGATTCCAACTTGGATCTCCCACATCCCATTTGAGTGTCCTAACCGCACCACTGTACAAAACATTATAAGGATGGCAGTGACAGCCCTACCTCCTCCTCTGGCCATTTTGTAAATTTGCCCCTTTAAAGATGCCCAGAAACAAAACATTTTGCATCAAACACCACGTTGTGTTCAACGCAAAATGGACTTTTTGGACTCACCAAAACTCTTTGGAATTTTTAGATTTGGTTTGACTCCAACCACATTCCTCCCCCCCCAATGTTTCTGAATGGTCAATGAACTGAAAAATCAGTTATTCACCCAGACCTACTTCTGAGCCACCCTATAGCCAATGTACCTCAGTCCTGATCAATAGCTCTGAGATTCCAGCTCTGAACCCCACTACAGCTCTGCTAAACTTAATTACTAGAAAGTGGTCTGGTGAGTTATTGACTACATCAGTCCCAGTCTTATTTGAGGGACGGATTAGGCAGTTTATGCTTACAGCTGACCCTGGAAAGAAGCCAGAAGAGCAGCTACCTTTCTCATGAGAGCTATGTACTTAAAATGAGATGCTGATGTCTCTTCTCTATATACCTGCAAAGATTCCTCAAGAACCCCGAGAGTGTGGGTGAAACTATAAATCCTGTGTGTAAACTCCTAGAGAGAGAAGCTTAGGTTAAGGTCACTTTGCAAAGTCTCTCGCTGTAAGAGCCTGGTAGACTCTAACATTTTGTATGGGAATTGTTGCTGGAATCTTTACTGAGTTTGCCTGTTGCCCAGATCTCTTCAGCTCACTAGGATAAAGGGTATGGGTTGAGACAGTTCAATGAAGAGGGCTTGGAGGATGCTCTAGTATTTCGCACGTTGCCCTTTTGTCAGGGATCCACCCTAGGAGAAACAATAATTGAACTCAGTTTTATTATCACAGGTAATTAGTTTTTGACTGTCCAATTTTAAGGGACATTTCCCACCTCTTTCCTAATGTAAATGAATTGCCAGCTGGCCTCATTAGCTACCAAACAGATATCTTCTCTAACCAACTATATATGGCTTTTGAAACAGCTTCTTGTTTCATTTGGGGCCTGAAAGCAAAAAGAGCTCACTGGCAGTAGAGGTGGGGGATTCGTCACCAGAGTGCCTCCTTGTGGTCAGGTGTGGCAGAGTAGCTCTCTCCCGATCTAGTGCTCCCTGCCGCCAGTCACTCTGGCACTGCAGTGATCTCTGTTCCTGTAATTCAGCCCCCTGGCCAGGGCACAATTTAATTCAATCCTTCCAGGGTAACAGAATGTCCAGCAAATAAAGGATCCAAACATCCTCACCCAAAGGTCTTTGGCCCCAACTCCAGACCTTTTTGTCATCACACCCTCGCAGAGCTCTTTGTTGGTCGTTATGCCCTTCTCAGGGGTTTCACACCATCTTCTCTGCTGGCTGGCAGGGGAACCTAGGCCTTCCATTCTGCACCAGGTATCAGCCCAGGGACCCTATAACCAGCATCCAAGGGCTGCTCCGTCCTACTCCTTGTTGCTGTTTCCCGGGGCTTCTTCCTACCCAGCCTTTCTCAGGCCTTCTCACCCCTTCCGCAACTTCTCTAGATTCAGCCTTGTTTCAGGGGGCAGGACTCTCAGGTGCGCCTCCCACCCCAAATCCCCTAACAAAGTCCCAACATAAAAGTATAAACAAAAACCCACTTCCTCCCTCCTTGGGCTTGACTGTACATCCCTCTCAACTAGATGCATCCCTCTCCCTGAAAGTCCAGTTCCTGCCCTTTTGTTAGGGCTTCCCACCAGAGCCAGCTCCTCTCCAATTCCTCTTCTGTGTCACCTGTGGCCATTTGCCAGCCTCTTGCACTTAGGCAAGGATCCCAGGACTTGCTCTCCCCTTTGGCCTCCCTAATGTCTAATCCCAGAGAGTGACTGCTGACTCTCCCTCGGAAGCCCTCTTCTGCTCTAAAGCTTCCTGACTTTATGATCACCACCCAGCCCCTCCCCAGCTGCTAGCTGCTGAGCAGTGTTTAGAGACTAAAGTCTCTCTAGCCACGTCTACACTACCCGCCGGATTGGCGGGTAGTGATCAATCTATTGGGGATCGATTTATCGCGTCTAGTGTAGACGCGATAAATCGATCCTCGATCGCTCTGCATCAACTCCGGAACTCCACCACTGCAAGAGGCGGAAGCGGAGTCGATGGGGGAGCAGTGGCCGTCGATCCCGCATTGCGAGGACGCAAAGTAAGTGATTCTAAGTCGATCTAAGATACGTCAACTTCAGCTACCCTATTCTCGTAGCTGAAGTTGCGTATCTTAGATCGATCCCCACCCCCAGTGTAGACCAGGCCTGTGAATCTTTGATTGCATCTATGTGGAGGCTGCGAAGAGCTACAGTGAAATGGAGCTAATTTTTTGTTACCTGGCCAATGACACATGTTTTTGTGCGAGTTCACCCTCCACTCCCACATAAATCAGTCCTTGGGGTATGTTCCCACCATCCCAAATGTTAGCCAAATGAGTGTCAGATAGTTTGAACAAAATTGCCCTCTTAGAAGCTCACCCATTTGCTTCAGCAGTGCCTCATTGTAAAAAAAATTATGCTAATTGTTGAAAGCAATCTACAAAATAATCAATACCATATCTAGGTAGTGAGGATAGTAGAAGTAAGGGACCGCCTGGCTCAGGGGTTGGTAATGGTCGTGGGGGAGCCTTTCACCTCTAGGTTGAACCCTACTTGAGACTGTTTACCACCTCACCATCATTGTCTGTGAAATGAGCTGGGATTAAGTCTCAGACCAAGTCCTAGGGCCGCAGACAAGTGTCCGCAGCAGAAAGGCCCTCCACGTAAGTGCTCTCAACAGAAAATGACAGATCCTGGATAGTAAGCTCGCCACACACTGCCAGAGATGTCTGTTCAGGTCACACATGAGGCATTTTCTGGAGAAGGTTGCCCTCCTGTTGACTGTGCTTTACCTGCCTGAGCCTTTGGCCCACAGGGTTGTCAATCTAGCGCCTCTCAACAACACTGAATTCACATTACAAAAAAAAAAAAATCCTGCTCTCTGACGTACCAGAGACTCTGACCATAAAAGCCACTTAAATTATATCAGAGCAAAGGGGTCAATTCACACCTTTTCCCCTTTAAATAAGCCATCTGATATAGGGGTATGGTTTTTAAAGAGTCCCTAGCTTAGCCTCTTGTTTTCTACTTGCAATGTGTGTGTCTGTGCCCACAAATAACTGCAGCCATAAGTACTCTGGGTTCAAGGAACACTTGGTTTTCATGGGCTACAGCAGACTCTCACAGTCACATCTCAGAAGGTTAACAGGTCATGATGCTGGCTGTCAAGGCTTCATTACCAACTGGTAATAAAATTACCTGTAATCATGCTGTCCACTTGTCACTCGTTTGCTAATTACAGTGCTCAGAACCTACTAGCGGCACAGAATGATAATGTGGCTACTGTACTTTTAGATTGTAGGGGCCTTTAGAAAGGCATATCCAGCATTCTTTTCCTCATGCTGCAGCTGCCAAGCCAGACTTCAGTGGCTGGGTGGGAGGGTAGCAAGTGTTGATAAAACACACAATAAAAGCAAAGCCAGAACCAATTCTTTGACTGAGAAAGCCTTCCTGGGATGAAAGAAATTTGGAGGAGAAAGTGATTGCTTACCTCTATTTATTTTTTTTACCCCCTAAAGCTGCACTTCACCTCTGCCAGAGAAAAGTATGTAAAAGTAGTCTTTTCTGCACTTTCAGACCCAATACGGATCTACTTTGTAATAGGATAAGAATCTCAAAGCATTTTACAAACATTATAACTAACCATTGCAACACTTGACCAAAAGGTAGGCATTATCCCCATTTCATAAACAGGGAAACTGAGACACAGAGTGGCTGCTGTGACTTATCCATGGGCACAGATCAAATCAGTAGCAAAAGAACCCAGGACTTTTGTTTCCGGTCCCCTACGCTAACAAATAGGATACACCTCTTCCTGTGTGATAATGTCCTGCTTCCTATATACCCTAATTTCAACAGTTCCCCTTAACCAACACACATGAAATGGCTACATTGCTAATAGAAAAGGAGTACTTGTGGCACCTTAGAGACTAACCAATTTATTTGAGCATGAGCTTTCGTGAGCTACAGCTCACTTCATCAAGATTCACAGGCCTGGTCTACACTGGGGGTGGGGATCGATCTAAGATATGCAACTTCAGCTATGAGAATAGGGTAGCTGAAGTTGACGTATCTTAGATCGACTTAGAATCACTTACTTTGCGTCCTCGCAATGCGGGATCGACGGCCACTGCTCCCCCATCGACTCCGCTTCCGCCTCTTGCAGTGGTGGAGTTCCGGAGTCGATGGTAATACCAGCAGGACAGTGGGGTGGGAGGAGATATTGTTTCATATTCTCTGTGTATATATAAAGTCTGCTGCAGTTTCCACGGTATGCATCCGATGAAGTGAGCTGTAGCTCACGAAAGCTCATGCTCAAATAAATTGGTTAGTCTCTAAGCTGCCACAAATACTCCTTTTCTTTTTGCGAATACAGACTAACACGGCTGTTACTCTGAAACCTGTCATTACATTGCTAATGTAGGTTTTGTGGGGTAATAATTTTGATCATGAAGTGTCAAAGTTTGTTATTGGCCTAGGTCCAGTTATGTAAGAGCAAGTAGGGATTTCCCCTTCACAAAATGAAATCAGCTTCTTGAAATTGATGGATATTAATAAAGAAAGCCTGGTTAGCTGTGTGTGAATGTTTAATTGTAGTGGAGCTGTTCTCTGTTTACTATGTAGCCTCAATTTATTTATTCTTTTCTAGTTCTTTATAAGTTTTGGATGTTACCTGTATTGTTATATTTTTCTCTTCTCTCTTTCTTTTATGCTTCCTTTGCCTCCGTTTGTTCATCTTCAAAGTTTCACAAGGTAAGTTTTTCTTCTAAGTCTTCTCTTAACTTCCAGTGACTAAAATCCTGCTTTACCTACTCCGGCAAATTTCCACTGAAATCAATGAATGTTTGCCCCAGTTAAAGACCTTAGGATTCAGTTCAGCGTGTTTTACTCATTTTTAGTCAAAATCTGACTTTGCATGTGTGCTCCCAGTCCCCTAAGTAGGAGATCTCTACAAGCACAGCTGAGGGAGAGTTTGTCCCTGTGCATTTTTTCATAGGCCCAGTCTATACACAAAGCTGTCTCAGTTTACTTAAAGGTGTGGTGTTAAATTGATTTAGTTAAATCGGTGCAGTTTTGTGTGTGACTCAATTTAATCCTAAAAGCTCTCAACACTAGAAACTTATACCACTTTAACTATACCGGTATGGTGAAGGGGTACAATCCCCCTAGTGTGGATGCAGTTATATTGGTATAAAGGTGCTTTATAATAGGATTGCTAGTTCTGTATGGGAAGGGGAATAGCTATATCAATATAAGGCAACTTTATATACGTATAACTGCTTCCACACTAGGTCCATGCTGAAAACTTCTGTATTGGCATAGCTATATCAGGAAGGGGTGTGAAAAAAAGAAGAGGGTTTTTGTTAACCTAGATCACTGCATTCAGGGAGGTAGTGTTCCTGAACTGACAGAAGAACCTCTGGCTGTGTGTACACTACTGGGCTATGGCAGCATAGCTATACCAGTATAGTCTCCAGAATGTAGACACAACCTAGGGTTTTTACTGGTATAACTACTTCCTTAAAAAAAAAAAATCACACCCCTAACCAAAATAATTATACTAGGGTAGACCAGGCCTTATATTGGTTTACCTTGCACCTGTAAATTTAGAAGTGTAAGCTAAACTGATATAACCAAGAGTATCCACAAAGGAGTTTGTATTAGTCTAACTAAGTTGGTTTTTAAACGGATTTAAGTTAAATCAGTGCAATTTCTGTGCATAGAGAGGCCCTTAGTTTTTAGGATTTTTTGTCTTTTAATCTTGCCTTCAAACCTAATTCCCATGTTCTAGCTAAGAAATGCAGAGGAAACCTTCCTTATGTACTTTGAAAGTGCTGTTTGGAAAAGCAGAATGTATTTCTGGTGTCTATTTATCCACACAACATGTAGAACAAAACTGAAAATGGACGCAGAAATAGTAAAGAGTGCCAATCTCTTTTCTTTGCATCCCTTTATTACCTGAGATAGACCCAGGCTCCATGATTTGCACCTGGATCTGAATTTTTCTGATGTGCAGGGATGTTTCTATTGGGTTTCGTTTTTTAAATATCTCTCTCTGGCTATTACTTGTCATAAAAGTTCCTCAAAGATACAGATTGGGACACTTTCCAGTAGTTTTCATTCACATTTGTATTCAAAGGGTTTTACGAACAGTGGAGTAAAGAAAATGAGAGTGGAAAGCTGTTTTAGGATTTAAATATTCCTCTGCAATGTTGGACATTTAAAAATTGCTTGAGATTCAAGAAGTTATATTGACCAGTCTAGTTTCACTGCCCAAGCTGGGGGGGAGGTGAAAAGGAAACGGCATTTTTAATTGTTTCATTTTAAACATTTCCATTGTTACTGGTGACACAGATAAGGACAATTATTTTCTTAAATAGATGAGCTCCACACTGATGCCATTATAACAACCATTGGCTCAATTGGAAAAGCCAGGTGGTAATTCTGGTAAAGACTTTGTGACCACCTGGATAAAGTTAAAAGAACTAATACCGCCATGGTCACGTGCCATCATGAGAAACAGGTGGAGAGGGGTTTTCCTGCCCCTCTCCCCTGACCGTAACCATCTGGGGAGTAGTCACGGGGAATGGAGTTCTACCTGCAACGGTGCCCCAAATAGACGCCCAACTCAACCACCAGGTGCTGAAAAATAGCTACAAAGGTCCAAGTTCATGAGCACGTGTCAATGGCATCATCCAGGAGGGCAAATTCTGTGTTCCCAGGGGAATGAGACACAGGAACCCACGACACCATCTGGGAGGGCAGTTCTTGTGTTCCCAGGAAAAAGGTGGAAGAGAAGACGAGAAGCACGGAAGAATAGGGGATTGGGTCCCAGCTCTTGGAGTGTCTAAAGCTGGGCACTGAAGTCCCCTGGCTGGACCCCTACATTTCTATAGACCATTTGCGAGCACAATAGGGAAAAGCCACTAGTGCATTGCTTCCTTGATGATGACATGAGCAAACAGTGACTGGTTACCTTTATCTGAGTAGGGTGGGCAAGGCCTGGGACGTAATGAGAGAAGCCTTTCCCACTCCTCTGTCTTATATCAGAATCCAGAAGCCACCCAGTGCAACTGATTTCTCCACTCCAACACCTTGCACGCTTACAAATCCATCAGCTCAGCTGGGCCCTGATTATAATGCATGAGATTCTGATGTGCTAGTTCAGCAAGAGCACGGAAACATGGATGTCGAGGAAGGGAGCATGAAGGGATGAGCTCGCTGGTGGGGGCCTGAGATTTGTGTTCCAATCCTGGCCTATTAGCCCCATAACCTAGGTCTCATCCTAACCTCGAGTGGATGTTTGTCCCCATCACCAGACCACCCTCCAATCTGGCACTGCTGGGGAGCTCTATGAGAGAGGGCCATGCCTGGAAAAAGCCAGGGGTATTTCAGCTAAGCCTGGAAGAGCAGCTGTCTAAGGGAGATTGCACACAGCTCCTGTATGGTTCTTGTTAGCAGGCTCTAGTGAGCACTAGCTTCATACAAGTTTAAATAAAAGAACATGCAAACTTTCCTTTAGCATCTCAGATGAAAGTATCACAAAAGTTATTAAGCCAGCCAGCAGTGTCTGAATACTGCAGCTGCTGAAACGCCTTGGGAGTAATATTGACGTTTTCATTCCCTTAACTCTGTCTTCCTCCTGAAAAATAATATACATGCATTCAATAATGTAGGCAGAAAAGTTCACATTTACAGGAAGGGGTGTGTGGACCATTGAATTTTGTCCCCATAGGCTCATCCATTATTACCCCTGCCCTATATGCACTTCTGCAGTCTCTCCAGGATCTCTCAAGGCAGACCTGCCACTGCAGACTCTACAGTTACTAACACAGCAGGTGCAGTTAGACAGAGAGCCAGCAGTGGGGAAGACCAAAAAAGCCAGTCATCTGCCAGAAGAAATGTTGCCTCCAGGAAGTTGTGTGCCCTGTGACGCCCAGGACACATGCCTCCAGATGGAGCAGGACAGCCATACCTAGGATGATGCTTGTCACTGCAGGGGAAACCTGCTGAAAAAATTGCTGTATTAAAACTAGTGCTGTGGAAATCCTTCATTGTGAAAGCAGGGGAAAGTCACCTCTTTTCATTTTTGATGCAGGCCCTCTGCTTCCCTTCCAGAGAGTCACAGACCATTCAGCAAGCTGCTTGGAGCCAAATTTCAACCAAGACCTGGGCTGATTTATGGCTTTGGATGGAAACCAGTCAAAATGGGGCCATTTTGCTTAAGCTTTGCTGGGGGCTGTAGGATGGGTTTGATTCCCCAATTTCAAAGCAAGGCTCATGGCAACGTAAACCCACATGCTCTGAATCTGGGGAAAATGTTTGGGAGCCCCCTGTGAACCAGAAGGGCTGAGGAAATCTGTGTTAGGGACACGGGGACCCTGTGGGCCAGTGTGGTTGCTGTTACAAGGGCAGGTTGTGGGGGGCAGGACATGCAGAAGGCAGCCAGAACGTTAACATTTGTGCTCCCTGAGTGCAATGGCACGTGGGCAAGGCCAGGGAAGCAAAGCGCTCTGTTATTACTGTGCTGTGCTAGCTCCTACAGGCCCCAATCAGGACCCCACTGTGCTAGGTGCCGTACACACAGCTAACAAAAGACAGCCCCTCCCCCCAAGAGCGTACACTCTATGTTTATGCTGAGGCAACAGGTGGATACAAGAAGCAGACGGGGGAGCATGAGGTAACCGTGAGATGGTTACAGTCAGAACAATAAGCTGCAGTCCCAGCACGCCACTTGCCCAGGTTGCTGTCAAGTGTTTGTAGGCATCACATCAGAGGTGAGTTTTAAGGGGAGATTTGAAGGATAATAAAAACACATCCCAAAGGGGAGTCTGGCTGCGCAGGATGGGGGCATTGCCAGTTGCCCTCGCCCTGTCTGCCCCCCAAACACTCTGAGGCCAGCCCGCGGGGAGGGAGCTGCAGCCACTGCTCCCCAGTGTACTTTGCACAATGTCCTAAGAGGCACTCTGAATCGGCTGGCTCTGCGTCCTGCAAACCATGCCTGCCAGCCAGCCCCAATGTACGTGTGGCTGCAAAAGCTATAACCCAGAGCCCATTTCCTGTCAGAACTGCGCATCAGAAAGGGCAATGACCAAGCTACCCCAAAATGGGCTAAGTCAGCAATGATTACCCCAAAAACAAGTCCCCCACTACACATGCCCTTGCACAGGGGAAATAAATGAAAGAGAAAATTCTCTCTCTCCCCCTTCTTGGCTGACCAGTGGGATGGGTCCTGTTAAACCTGACCCATTGCTGATTGCTTGTTTGCAGCTCACCAAGACTGTGGGCCATGAAACAACATTTTAATCATGTTCCCTTCCCACCCCACCCCACAGGCTACAAGGAACAGGGGATCCCACAGCAGCTGTAATGGCTGGGACAAGGGTGTTCCACGGAACGTGGTGTGTCTGTCAGCTGTGGGCACAAGGACCTTTCCACTTTCATTTTTCTTTTCTTTTCTTTTTTTTTTTTTTTTGTTTTTTAAACCAATGCGTGCGTCTGTTCAGCGGAGCGGAGGTGCAGAGCAGCAGATGGAGACCTTCACTGATCCCTTTTAGAACCGGCGATGAGGCAAACATGACGTGGGTTAGGACTGGCACAGCCAGCACGTCGTGATAGGCGGCCAATCCCGAGGAGGGAGGAAAACACTGGTAGAATGAGACGCTGCTGTGGAAGATGGCACTTGGGCTGGCGGTGAGAAGAGTGGGGATGCTGCTTTCTCCAGCTGCAGGGTGTGAAGCAGCTGGAGACATTTGCCCTCCTTGTAGTTGACCATTAAAGGAGCCCAGCGGTGAACATCAAGATGAAGGAGATATTTATAGATATATGTCCAGTATGTAAAAGCCAAAGCTGAGTGATACCTTGTTTCCTGAGAGTCCTTTCTTGACTGCTTCGTGATAACAGGGGTTCAGCTCAGCCTCTTCTGCTGTGTGTGTTTATGATGCTCACTGAACCTCTGTCGTTGCAGATGCTCTGACGTTTTGCTTGTGGCTGCTCTAAATCATACTTTACTGGTGACCCAGGCTGTGAATATGCCCTGCCTGCTTCTACCTGCTGAAAGAAGAGAAAAGACTTGACCTGCCACGAGCCAGTAACAAACTGGTTCTTACAAAGAACTGGGTCGCCATGGTGTGACGTGTGCTTTGTGCGGGGGGGTGGGGGGGGGTGGAGTGAGGTTTGTGCTGTCTAATGCTTCCGGTTTAAACTGGTATTTTACAGAGACTAAAATGCCAGTGAAAGAGACTTGTGGATAAATAGCACCATACTGTGGGAGTTAATATAATTATTGTGTGTGTTTTGTTGCCTGTGTTGCATGATACAGTGGTCTTGATCCTCTTCCAAGGGGACAAGTGCCCATATTTCAAAGACCACTGCAACAGATGGCACTAACTGGTCACCATGTTAGCAGTCTTGGCCACTCACTGGAGCATGGAAAATTAACTACCCTTTCAAGCCTAGAGTGGTGGTCCCTCCAGGTCAGGGTTGAGCCATACTGATATTGTGAAACACTGCCACTGACTAGCCTTCAAATAGATGCAGCATAAAGAAAGGACTTCATTCTCCAGGCCCCTCCATCCAGCACACCGGAATGAAATTCATGGGAAGATTGATGGCCTGACATTCAGAGGTGTGTGGGTGCTCAGTACTTCTGAATATCAGGCTCATAGTGCACTGTGAACAATGGACAGAACCGTGTTTGCCAGTCACTTTCCCTCTATGAGAAGATGATGAGAGGAGCCATTCAGAAACAAAATCATACTGCCATTCTCACCCTCTGGGAACTATTCTTTCAGCAAACTAGTTAAAAATCCCCACAGCCTTAATCGAGACACATCAAAAGAGAGACATGTCCAAGTACAAGACTCTTCAGTAACTCTCTCTCTCATACACACCCCTCTTTGTTTCATAGTTAAGAGAACCAGTGGGAGAGGGGCTAGGGCATGAAATCCCACCTCCACATAGCTTTCTATCCAGATCTCCCTCTCCCTGTTTGCTTTTAGATCATGCTGTGGTTTTTCAGAGCCAACAGATCCGTTCAGTTAGAATGACCTTTGTTCTAGTTTAAAGAGAACAAAGAACAAAAGTAAAGTCTCTATGATGGAGCACCTGTGGCAGATGTGGGTGCCCTCTATAAAAGTCTGCACTGGACTGAACACAAAAATGGCTGCCTGGCTCTGCAGAGAGTCAAGTCCTTCCAGATTTAAAGTGGTAGGGCTCAGAAAACCAAGAAATAACAGTTACATAGTTAGATACACCACAGCCACAGCCCCTCTCTCCAGACTGAGATGTGTCCTGCATTTTGTAGACCTGTATGTAAATAACTACCACAGGTAGCATGGATGGGACAGTAACTAATTTCAACACTATTGTCACTACAAAGCAGGTAGCTCAGACCATCTCTAATCTCAAATGCTCTTCTCCCAACTGTAACTGGGCAGCTTGTCTTCATTGAAGGCTGTGTCCATTCTTCTTCTCAGAAGCCAGGGTTTCCTCCCTCCCCTGCCCATCACCCTCACATCCTCCTGCTCCTATCAGGGTTTCACCAGTGCATTTCATTCATCTTTTTCTGGATTTCAGAAATAACGAAGACAGCTCCTCAGTGCATGCATCAGAAAGCTTTCAGGAGGGGAGACACCCGTGTACTCGCTGTACTTCTCTATACTCAGAAAAAAGCACTTCTCCCATGGTCATGGTCATGGTCATGGGGCAGGCATAATTTAAGGTCCTGCTCCCATTGGCTTCAACAGAAGCTGGAGCCAGATTATTATTCTTTTAGTACCAGTCAAAATAATTCAGGCTTACCCATCATCTACATAAAAACCTTCCTATCCCACCGAGCTGATCCAACTCTCCTTCAGTCCACCCTTCTCACGGCAGGTCTACACTGGTTTCTAAAACCCACAGCAGCCATTCTCAGAGCCCAGGTCCACAGACTCATGTTTACACTACAGTGCTAAAAACAGCTGTGTAGACATTCAGGCTCAGGCTGGAGCTTAAGATCTGAAGCCCATCTCCCTCCCAGCCTGAGTGGCAATGTCTACACGGCTGTTCTTAGTGCCATAGCACGAGCCCAAATCATAGACTTTAAGGCCAGAAGGAAGCATTATGATCATCTAGTCTGACCTCCTGCACAGCACAGTCCACAGAACCCCTACCCATCCACTCCTGTAATAGGTCCCTAACCTCTGGCTGAGTCACTGAAGTCCTCAAATCTTGATGTAAAGACTTCATCAGCGCATTCCCCATTTACTCTCATTCAAACCAGCAAGTGACCCGTGCTGCAGAGGAAGGTGACCTCCCTCCCTGAGTCCTTCACAACTCCAAATATAGCGATCAGTTTGACCCACCAGCCAAACACCTGGGAAAGAATTGTCTCTAGTAACTCAGAGCCCTCCCCATCTAATGTCCCATTTCCAGCCACTGGAGATATTTGCTGCTAGCAGTCGCAGGTAGGCCATATGTCATTGTAGGTAACCTCATTGTACCGCCCCCTCTATAAACATGTGAAGCCCAGTCTTGAAACAAGTTAGGTTTCGTTGCCCCCCAGTGCTCCCCTTGGAAGGCTGTGTCAGCACTTCACTCCTTTGATGGTTAGTAACCTTTGCTTAATTTCAAGCCTAAACTTATTGATAGCCAGTTTATACCCATTTGTTCTTGTACCAGCATTGGCCCTTAACTTAAATAACTGTTCTCTCTCCCTGCTATTTATTCCTCTGGTGTATTTATAGAATATCTCCACTCAGCCTTTGTTTTGTTAGGCTAAACAAGCCAAGCTCCTTAAGTCTCCTCTCATAAGGCAGGTTCTCCATCCCTCTGATCATCCTAGGAGCCTCTCTCTGTGCCTGTTCCAGTTTGAATTCATCTTTCTTAAACATAGGAGACAAAAATTGCACACAGTATTCCAGATGAGGCCTCACCAGTGCGCTGTGTAATGGTAAGAAGACTTTTCTATCTCTACTAGCAATACCTCGCCTAGATCTGGCCTCTGAGACTTGCTGCAGTGAGTGTAGACAGTGTAGACGTACTCAGAGACCAGGCATGGAAAATAGATCAGCATTTCAGACAACAAACTGCACCAATGGGCAATAGGTTGAGGATCTGTCAGACATGGAAAGGAAGGAGAGTGAGTTCAAGAGTCCAGGAACCTTCTCTGAAATTTTCTAAGTCTCTTCCATTTAAACCTGGAGGCTGTTAGCTCAAGTACTTTAGCTGATCTCAACTGCCTTGATATCACACATGGAGACTGCAAAAGAGACTATCTATCAGGAGCCAAATCCTTAATATAAACAATGGATTTTATGTAGTTATATATTTATTAGGCCCAATTTTTGCTGGGTCCGTATTTTAGGCATACACAGACACTACCTGGTGTGTAAACACCAAGCTAGGAAGACCTCTAACCAGCCAACGTGCTCACACAAATGCAGGGTTTACATGTGAAAATGTAGACGTTTGGCTGAAAATGCGTCCCCCTATGTCTGTATCACATGGGGAAGAGGGACGCAGCATTTGATTAGTTTGGGAGGGTGGAAAGCCTGTTTCATCTGGTTCTTCAAGCACAACTGGCACAAACTCATAAAAAGGAGTGGTATTGGGGACAGCTCCCTCAGGATAAGATCAAACAGCACTAGATTGGCAGAAGATCAACCAACAGATTAGCTTTGCTTGCTATAACGGAGCTCCCTGAGTTAGCCCTTCATGTGGCCTGGCTGAATGCTAACAATAACACTTTTTGCCTGTAGATCTCAGAGCACTTTATGAATGTAGGAATCATTACCTCCAATTTACCAATGAGAAACTGAGGCACAGGGAAGTCAAAAGAGTTGACCAAGATTATACAACAAGCCCATGGCCTTGGCCTGATGCCCTATGCATTGGACCACATTGCTAAGCTAAATACCTAGTATTTTATACTCTTTATTAAAGATAAATAAATATCCTTTATTAAAATGTGGCTGCTGTGCATGGCTAGAATTCGCCTCTCAGCTCTGCACTGCAGAGAAGAGATCTGCAGAGTGGAGCAGAGAGGAAAGTTTTGCCCTTAAAATTTTGGAGGAAGGTCGCTTTAAAAAACAAAACACCAACTCTGGAGAGGTTTTTTTTAAAAATCACACAATACAGACAGCAGCAAAGTGGGTTTGTTTGAGTGATAGGTGCCAGTTTTTGCTTCTCCTTAACGTGCTGCTAGGAGTGATTAACAAAGAAAACTGCTATCGTTGTCATTACGCAACACTCAGGCGGAGAGATGGTTACTTCGCTTTGCCCCTTAGAAAGTTCCACAACAGCAGCATGTTAAAAATCAAGGCCCAGTTAATCATTGGCGAATTACACTGGAAATGTTACCAAAGTATCATGTGAATCACCTGTATTAATGCCAAGTGATAAAATCATCAGGATTACTATTACTACAGGAATTACCCACAGGAATTCTCCTCAGAATTTAAGTCTTTCTGGTAATTTATACCAACTAGAATACATTACTGCATGGCTGCTCATTATTCACTGATCAATACTATAATAGTCCCGTGCACTTCTTAGCTTCTTCAGTCTCAAAGAACTCTACAAATATTAAAGAATTAAGCTTCAAAACCCCCTGACAGATAGGTGTAACATTGTGGATTTAGGGCTTGTCTTCACATACAGCGCTGCAGCAATGCAGCTGCACCGCTGTGATATTTCAACAAAGACAGTACTACGCTGAGCTATTTAATCCACGTCCCTGAGAGGTGGTAGCTATGTCGGCCGAAGAAGCTCTCCCATTGACATAGCGCTGTCTACACGGGGGGTAGAGAAGTATAACTGTGTCGCCCAGGAGTGTGGATTTTTCACACCCCTGAGCGTTGTAGTTATACTGATATAGGTGTGTAGTGTCAACCTGGCCTTAGTCCTCACCTACCGTCCTATAGAATATGATCCCCCTTTTACAGCAGGGGAAACTGAGGCATAGACCTCACCACGGTCAGAGAGTGAATCTATGGTGCACCCAAGAACAACTCCACTGTCGTGCTCTGGCTACTGGGAATTGCTCTTGGTCTGGGTACCTAGCTTCATTGCAACTAGTGGTTGACCCAATTCAAAGGGCTCAGTGATTCATCCGAGGTGAGGGTGTAACTTAGAGCCCTCTGATTCTCAATAGTTTCAGTAGCTCAGAGATGAGGCAATAGTACAAACCCTCTAGATGCTGCTCTTACCTTTGGAGTCTGAACATTTGCATATGCTTTCTTTGGAAATCAGTTTGGAAAACCTCAGTGTTGTAAACAGACCAGTGCTGCCACAGGACACTAAATTGCCCACAGACATGTCTCCTGTGACACCAGATACGAGACTCTAGATCCAGCCAACAGATGCCTCTGGCACAACTGTTGGGTCTGACATGCTGGAATTCAGGACGCCTCAGAAAGTCTCTTGATACCAAAAGGTGATAAAGGATTTAGCAGCTTGTCTGCATTGCTGAGGTTTTGCCGGTCTCTTTTTTGTCTAATGTTCGGTGTTTTCCATCGTGCATTCTAGCAAGGACAGGAAAATGGGATTAATCAGGGGATAGTTGCTATGGAAATGTTGAACTCGGAGGGGCTGCCTTGTATCTTCTGAGACTGCAGTGTTTTAATTATGCCTGTGTCTTGGCTGCTTTTATTGCGTTAGTGATGTTGGCATAGACAGCATCATGCATTGCATAAACAGGCTATAGGATGTATAATTTACATGCAAGTTCTGGTGTTTTGTTAAAAATTCCATAGCCATTGAGCTGTTTTATCAGATTGACTGAGGCAGAAAAGCAGCCAACTTGCCATTCAAGAAGTTCTGAAATATTTAAGATGAAGCGATGTTGAGCCCTGCTTGTGACACACAAAAGGCAATTTTTTTGCCTGGCACCTTATATTTGCTTAATCAATTTTAATTAGTGACAAACAAGATCATTCCAGCTGGTGCCGTTTATTGTTGATGCACTTTATTGGCTAGCGATTCTCAACGGCGACTGGAGAACAAGCACAGAATTGGATTTTCCTCAAAGTACCACCATTCAAATAAATAATCGCTTCATTCCCATCTAATTGCTCTGACTAAAAAGTGAGTCTGTCTGGTTTTGGAGACAGTACAACCTGAAGAAATGCAGCCAGGACTGGGAGTGAGGACACCCTGAATTCTGCCACCAATTAATTATGTGGCCTTGGGAAAATTGCTTCACTTCTCTGTCTCATTGTCTCCCTCAGCTGTAAAGTGGGGGTAATACCTCATTGAGCACTTGTGAAGATTGACTAGGTAGGGCCAAATCCTGCTCTCAGTTATACAGTTCCAATTCCCATTGCACCATTAACCCTCCAGATCTGAACTTTCCCAAAGTTGAGATCTGAGGTTTTAGTCTGGGCCACTGTATAGGGCAGGGCCAGCCATGAAGTTTGGGTCTGGATCAAGATGTCCCAGTGTTTAGAGTTGAGGGTTCTGTTCATTCCCATCTCCCACCCTGCCCTCCCCCACAAATAAAACACGAGAAGAATGAGCCTGACAAAGTAGCACAATTCTCCCTTAAATCTGGAAGCAGGAGACAGGATCTGAAGGATCCCCAATGGCCTCCCAGTCCTGTCCAGCTAATTGCAGCATTGTGACTTTCCCATTTGAGCTGAGGTAGGGACTAGGCTGCTTGTTCTGCCTTATAAACAAGGGTCTTTGTAATCACAGCGCTATCCCTTCAACTCCCTTCTGAACTGGGCTGCTTTGGTTTGCGACTGATATTTACCCAATGTGAGACCAGGAGGGACAACCTTCCCTTCCAGCATAGGACTATTGGAACAAGGAGAAACACTGCTTCCTAAGAATCTGAGCAAGGAACAGAGCCTAGCAGAACCAACCCTACTGTATGTAGGTCATTGGAAAGAGCTGAATACCACTCCCTTTTTGGATGGCACTCAAAACCCTCCCGTAGGCCAGGAGGCCTCACTGGACCCCACAACTTCTAAGTATTCGGCTCTCATCAAAGTCCTAAAGTTGCTCATAAACAGAGAGAATTTCAAGTACTTACAGAAGGGAAGCTAGTGTCAACTCATAAATGAAAGCTAAATATTGGTCCTGGATTCAATTCCTGTAATGAAAAGAATCATACAGGGAAAACTCATAAGTGCTCATTTGGAGGGTGATTTTTTCCCTCCCTATGAGTGGAGAGGGTTTGCTGGTTGTGGGTTTGTTTTGTTTTGTTTTTTTTTTTGGGGGGGGGGGGGGGAGAAGAGGGTTGGATTCATCACCCGGAGCTTTTATGCCTCCTTCTGAAAAAACTGCAGCAGAGGAAGGCTGCCTCCCCCAACATGCCAGCAGGCAATGTGGGTTTGATCATTCGCCTGTTGTCAGTGGGAGAAATACAAATGCTTCATTTCACTAACTCCTGCCACACCATGTTACTCAGGTTACCTGCAAAATGCCCAGTTCCTTGTGAGAAAACCTAGGAAACAGGAACCTCCATCAAATTTTTAGTGCTTCCACCAAAACGCTGCCAGTCAAATATTTCCTAATTTCATAGTCTCAGTAAAGAAAACCCCTAAAGCCTGTGACTTTGTCTGCTGTTGATCTCTGTATAATCTACTGTTTATCTGATCTACATTTCTAATGTGCACAGCGCCAGGGTAGATAGATGTCATTTTCCCCTTTATAAATATGAATGTGTTTGAGATAAAAGTTTTACAAGGGGGACAGTACTTGTCTCTTCTGCATCACCATTTGCTTGAAGGCATGAGACTGCACCGAAATGTTACCTGTGATATTTCTCAACATAAAAACAAGGGCTTTCAAAGGGGCTTTATTGCGGTGGTTCCTTCGTGCTTGTAACTCCAGTTTCTTTCTTCCTATCCCAATGGTCCTGTCTACTAGGGATCAGAGTGCCATCACTGCCCACCTCCCATTCAGTGATGAGTGCTCGGACCGGACATGGATATTGGGGTGTTCCAGGCTGCCATCTCAGAGTGCTCTCACATTTGAATGGGAGGTGGCAGACACTGACTAATACAAGAACTTGGTTGATCTGGACATCCGGCAAATCAATCCATTTGCCTGAAAAGGTTGAGGAGTGCTGTTCAAGCACACAGGAAAATTAGATCAATGGTTATAAGTATAGGACCCTTTTGTCTGTGCTACGTCCTGTACTTTCTTTAAAAAAAACGCATGCGCCTTAAGTTTGTGAAAGGGAATGCACAACTGAATAAAAAACCCTCTAGGTGCTGATGTAAATTGTCCCTGTGCTCATCTCTCTCTGCTGCATGAAGCATGCAAGATCTTTTGGGAGAACTTCTGTTTTAATGCACTGCACAGATCACATGTATTTAAGCTGGAGAACCACAAACCAGTCAAAAAAGCTAGGTTTTACCCCCACTCCATTTCCACCATATTTATTTTGGGCATTGCAGCTGCATATCAAAATACACTGTGCTACTCCATTGTAGTGACATAGAATATCATAGCAAGCGACAGCAAGGGTAGAAGTCAGAACCTTCTGTGCCACAAACACAAGTCTTTTCCCATTTTAGCCAAAAGAACGCATCTGTTGGATGTACAGCAGCAATAAGAGCTTAGAGACACTTAGGATCCAGCCACGAGAAGACATAACCCTAAGACTCAAATAGGTGTGACATTCCATCCTGGAGAAAGCAGTGCTTTCTTACTCATGCCCCCACCAGCCAGTATTAACAATATTTCAGTAAACTTGTACATCCAGCTTTCCTCCATGTTCAAGCAGACACCTATACATGTCCAGGTAATGCTGCAATTCATTGTCCCAATCAGGATCACATTATGTGTTATCTCCCGTTATGTGCAACTGATCTGATGTGAAATCAGATTATACCCACAAGTCAGTTTTAAATTATTTCTAATGACCTCCACTGTACACCTAGGACCCATACCTTTTCCTCTTGATCATCTGTATTTATTGCTAGGGCTAAGCTAGGATTAACTGATCGGTAGTCCTGTGTATCAGTGAACAAGCCAAAGGAAAACTATGTTTCCTAATTTCTTCCCAGGATGAAAGAGTAAAATGTGGGGGGAAATCTACAGTGAAGACAAGCAAATAACTATTAGGAAGGTCTCCACACAGGTGCAAATTGTGCTTTCATTTAACACTGGTAAATCCAAAGTAATTCACTGAACCAAATTCTTCTCTCAGTTACAAGGATGCTATTCTCGTTGAGTTAATCGGGAATAGTATGCTTGCAACTCAGAGAAGGATTTTGTCCATCGACTTCACTGGAGTTGTTCTGGAATTACACTAATATAACAAGCTGCAGAACATGGCCTATACTGGGTCTCCTGAAAGGTTAGCAACAGCTCCTGAAGTGAACTTCTTCAGCAAATATTTACACAAGTGCTACATAGGATAGGCTAAAATTCTTTGCTACCAAACAAAAGTTGGATGCTGCTCAAGGAACATCAGGAAATATTCTTTTCATCTGCTGTATCATGTGTTACATCCCAAAAGGCAATGGCTGTGTATATCGGGTTTCCCTTCCCTATCACCCTAAGGAAGCTAAGAGGTTTGCAATGCAATGGTTAGTCTTGATTTTAACTCATATATATATATATATATACATACACACACACACTCATATACTCTTTATATATATATATATATATAAGAGTCCAAACTGATTGCGTAGAGTGCCAAACTGTTTGAAAAAAAATTGTATGCCTATTTATATCACAAAGTATGTTACTGTGACTTGCTGTGTTTTGATACTGTGGATTTTTTTTTAGTTAAATATATTCTCTTGCTGTACAGTTTGAGTGGAGTGGAAGAGATTCTCTCTACAGCCTTGAGACAGTGTATTCTTATTGGGTGGAAGTTAACATGTGCGCTCTCTTCCTACCCACCAGTTGTATATGTGGTAGCTCTGAGTAAACATAAGCACACACCCATGATGTCTGAAGGGAGACTGGGGACATGGCCCAGCGTTCAAGGATTAATGAATTGAGGCCATTGGGCAAATGCAGACTTGAATGATGAGTGGCCAAAACTGCCACACAGGGATATTTTTGCTGTTTCCCTCCCATCTAACATTACCCGAGTCCACAGCCTAGAAATCAAAGATTGAGCAAGACCCATTAGCTCACGTGGTCTATCCCCCTAATAAAGGCAGAATTGTTCCTTATTGTGGTTTCCTTGTTGTTTCGTCCAGCTTTGAAATAACTCCAGCAATGGGGCTCCCTTCCCTTGGGAGATCAGTCCACAGTCTTACTGAGCCATCTCATCTGTAGGACGATTTTCTTACTAGCCAACCTAAGTGTATAATTGCTCAGCAAACACAAGACACGGGCAGGGGGCTGTTAGATTGGGGATTATCACAGTTTAATGAATCTGTATATAGGGAATGTTCAGCTATCGGAGTTGTCCATGACAACTCCTTATAAAAGATTCCTGTCCTCAGTAATGTCCATATTAACATACAGTGTTTATTAGGCATGCTCCAGAGAGGCAGCAAGGAATTCACCTTCCATTAAAGAAAAATCCACCGAGTAGCCTAAATAGTTTGACATGGACCTTTCATACATAATTCACCTTTTGATCTGTGAAACTGATTTTCATGGTCATGGACAAAGAGTAGTGTCTTTGGGCCTAGCTCTCAACTCACTTGTGTCTTGCATAGTCACTTACGTGTGTGCAAAATGAGGGCAAAGTGGATGTAAAATGCTGATTTGGTACCACCTGGCACTCCTTTTGCACGGTTATAAATGACTACACAGGCTACAAGGCAGTGGAGAATCAGGGCCTCTATGGCTAAATATAAACATGGAAGATGGAAAGGGCCGAGGTCCACTAATGCCTTGCACTCACACAGAAAAACAGTCAGGTGTGATCTCCCTGTTTATACTAACGAATTATCCTTATTCAATGCATAGAGGAAAGGGAATAAAAACCTAGAAGATATATTGGCAGTGATCTAAGACCTCGCAAATGTTTTGGCTCTTAAATACCCACACACGATGTCTCTTGGCTGACAGTTCTCATGTGGCTGTTTGGATGGCCTTGAGCCTGCTCATAACTTTGGCTGTCTCTTGCCCTTGGATATAGGTGCCATGTGACCATGAGTTTAAACAAGCTGTTTGCATAACAAAGAAGGCACTGACTTTGCAAGAAGTATCCCCACCTCCTAGCCGCAATTCCTGCATGGAAGCAGGAATTGCTATAGTTCAGTGTATCATCCCATTTATACCCCCACGCCAAAACTTACGGAAACGTCTCTCTCGACAGTGTTGCTGCATCACTTCCAGTTGTTTGGAGTGCTTTTGTGAATCGATGGGTCTCTTCTGGCAGTTTTGCATTTCTCCAAGGGCTTAGGTTTCTAATCTCAGAAATGATTCTTGTCTGTGTGATGGGAAAGAGCGTGCGACTGACACATACACTGTCATATACAATATCCCATTCAACAATACTACATTAAAAGAATGCTAAGGTTGCAAGTAAAGCACTCAAAGCGGCCCCTGCAACCTTAACTCAGCCCCCTTGTGTGTATGCATTATGATAACCTCTTTAATCATACTATCCTGTATTATTTTTCCCAAAGAAACCCTGCCTTCTTTGGTTTGTAGGATGGCTGGTGTTCAGGGAACAAGGCAGCTAGTTGATAGCTCCTTTTGTCCTCATTGGTGAATGTGTGGTCCCATGCCTCATTTACTGCACAACACTGCTTCATCTACCACAGGAATGTCCACTATCCATGGCTGTGAAATTGGAGTCTCAAGAAATTAAGGTTTAAAAAAACATATTCACAATAGCCAGTCAAACAGAATACAGAACACACAGCGCTTGCTTCGCCAGGGTTCTGTTGTTATAATTGTATAATTTAGCAACCACAGAGCAATCTCTCTGTTGGCTAAAAAATAAAAAGCAATAAATATATAAACAAGTACAAAAACCATAGCATAAGTGATGTAAATTTTGGACTTGGACATACATGGTCTGCTATTAAACAATCTTTACAAAAATAATAATTCGATTAGGCTAATCAATATGGCAAAAATCGATTCCAGTGCTTATTCTGAAGAAATTATCTTTATTAGAAATTAATTTGTTGGGAAATTCTTCCTGTGCAAATGCATACATTCTAGCTTTAACAACATTACACATCTTCAATGTCTGCGTCAGAATCGGCAAGAAAACATGCTTTCTCTCTCCCAACACATGCTATATATAGCCAACAGGAGTCTGCCATATGTGATTGTTACTTCAGGATACAAAGACTGTATGGTAGAACATAGAATCATTCTTTATTCCTCATGACAGCAACAGAACATTAAAATGTTTGCAGACAAATCAACACAAATATAGTGCCGCTCCAAAACTCTGATCTGCTAAGCTACAGCAGGATTTGGGGACAGATCCTGCAACTTTCATGAGTTTAATGGGATTAAGCATATGAGTAAGGACTCCTTGCAGAGTAAAGGTTTCAGGATCAAATTTTTGGCTCCTGCTGATAGGTTTCTGCATGCTCCCAAGAATAAAATAAGGGAAGGAGAAAACCCAGGCAGACAGAGGGGAAGATGGACCCATCTTGTGCCAGTGCAGAGAACCTGAGAGATGGTAGTCACTGATAAAATTGAATGTGATTTCAGGCATCAAATCTGAGATGTATGTCTGAAATTATTTGTAAAATACACAATAACAATACTCCCCTAACCCCTGCACTCCTCTCCTGTGCCCCCTTCCCCCTTAAGCCCTCCTATGCCCATGTGGGGGCATGGAGGAATGTTCGGGGGGGTGGGAGCGAGCAGCAATGCTGGGTGCTCTGAGTCACCACTCCCCCACCACCCAAACTCTGCTCATGTGCGGCACTCATGTTTGTATATCTCTGTGCTGCACCTGGCACCCCCCTGACCATGTCACCCACCCCTAAGGCCAGCCCTGCTGGCTACGGACAGAGACAGGTAAGGAGTGACTCAGACCTGTGGTCCATCTATTGTCCTAGGACGTAGGGACTAAATGTTAGATTTTAAAAAGGTATTTAGGCCCCTAAGGATGCAGATAGCTCCTGAAGATGCTAAATGCTTTTGAAAAATCGAGCTAGTAGCTAATTACCTTTAAAAAGCTGGCCCAGAGTGCCTGCCAAGTTTTCTGTTTATATTATCCCAACGTGTTAGAGCTGTTACTACAAAACACGGCCACAAAAATTTTCTTAGCAGAAATTATTTTTCACTCCTTATATGCTTGAAAATGGTTCAACCATTTTCAGTAAAACTCTCTGAAAAAGCTCACTCCCTGACTGACAGAAAGTGTGTCGAAGTTCAGGCCAAAAAGGTGAAACTTTGAGAAAGTTTCAGAGGAACAGCCGTGTTAGTCTGTATTCGCAAAAAAGAAAAGGAGTACTTGTGGCACCTTAGAGACTAACCAATTTATTTGAGCATGAGCTTTCGTGAGCTACAGCTCACTTCATCAGATGTTTACCGTGTTAAACATCTGATGAAGTGAGCTGTAGCTCACGAAAGCTCATGCTCAAATAAATTGGTTAGTCTCTAAGGTGCCACAAGTACTCCTTTTCTTTTTGAGAAAGTTATAAGCCACAAAGTGACCCTTCATAATGGAAACCCAGAAGCAACTTTAACAATAGGCATTGCTCAAGTGTCATTTGTTACAGAGCTACATGTGTGCACACACATACCTGTGTAACATGCATAGCATTTCTTTGAGGGGTCTGAATTGGTGAGTATTTTTTTAACATGAATGTTTCAATACCTTTCTCTTTGCCTTCTCCACATTTATATGTGGCAAGCATTAATGTGACATTTTGGCCAGGGCAGCAGTTTGTGGCAGTTTTATGAGCCTTCTAGGGGTGTCTGATGTGGGTTATTTAAAAAAAAAATCTATTCCTTTGAAAGTGCCTCAGCTTGATCTCACCTGCAGCTTCTCTTCCACCTACCTGTCAATGTTCTCAGGCAAAGCCATACAGATGAATAGAAATTTGCATACATTTAGAATTAGAGTAGTTGCTGATTGGATTGGCCGCTCAGCACAGTGAGAGTGGAGGGAGAGTACTCTAGTTCTGATTTGTGCGAATAAGATGGGGTCATTGCAAGGGATCCTGGCCCCGCTCCTCTAGGGCGATAGCCTCCCTATCTCCATTCATCCCCTTCCAAACTTCTGCTTCATGTTATTAAACAGGGGGTAGGGTGGAAAAAGTGGCCTGGGTAAAGCAATAAAGGGAAAATCTGGATAGGGAGGAAAGAGTGGATTTGGGGAGAGAGGCAACTGGATTTTAGAGGATTTCCTTTCTCCCTCCCTCCCCCTTCTTTGCTCCCGAGTCAAATTCTTCCCCCACCACCAAACACCCTGATGACACACCACTCCCTCCGAAAAGGACCATACTGATCCTCTCCTCAATTACTGATACGGCCTCCCCATACAGAGCCCCTCCCACCGGTCATTATTGGTGCCCCCCAGAAACACAGATCCTCTGTCTCCATCAATACTGGTGTCCCTCCCACATACACACTGATCCCTCTCCTCTCAGTTAATATGGGTATCTCCCACTCTGTTAATCTTGGGGTCCCTCCCATTCAAATACCCGTGCTCAATTCCCCCATTAATACTGGGGGACCAGTTGTGGGGGGCCCCCCAACCCCCTCAAAAAACCCCACCTTCAGCATCTGCTTCAGCTCCCTGAGCTTCAGGTTCCTCTCCAGTTGCTCTTTTCCCTGACTCCCCTCTTAGTTCTGTCTGAGGTCAAGGAGGGTGGCAGCTCAGAAGAACATAAGAACGGCCATATTGGGCCAGACCAAGGGTCCACCTAGCCCAGTATCCTGTCTTCCGACAGTGGCCAGTACCACGTAATTCAGAGGGAGTGAACAGAACAGGTAATCACCAAGTGATCCATCCTCAGTCATCCATTCCCAGCTCTTCACTCCCACCCCAGGCCTGAGGTCATTGCAGACTTTCTTTCTTACATCCGGCACTGAGCGTTGGAGAGGAGAGAATAAGACCAAGTACTCCCGGAGTGCTCCCATCCCAGCCCTTTACCCAGGAAAGAGAGCTCTGCCTGCTCCATGAGCTGAAGGAGCAAGACATCTCTCAGCTCAGGCAGCAGCTCTGATTGGCAGCCTTTCCCCAGGAGACAGGGGAGAGGAGAAGGCATCCCTACCGCCCCATGCCTTGAGGAGG